TAAAAAAAATCCTTTTTTTAAAAAAAAAAAAAAAAGAAAAAAAAGAGTTCTATCTCAGAAAGGAAGCAAATAGTTTTCAAAAGACCTGTAGTACCGTGTCTGTTGTCTGTAAGACCGCAGGGCTCCATGGTCTCTCATTCCTGAACTTCTACACAGAAATGCATTTCATGTTGCCGATGAGATCAGCACAAGCGACTCACACACATGGATGTTACCACAACCTCTAATTTTAAATAGAACAACTGCTAATTTAAAACCAACAGTTAAAGCACACTGGTACAGAATTATAGTCTCCTTTAGACTGGTATGATTTCTCTATGATGATTAAGACTGGCAAATCAGACGTCAAACTTTCTACAGGGAGTTGTCCTTTTTCAAATATCAATTGGTCAGAGAGCATTTGAGAAAAGGGAGGTAGTATTGCCCTACGGCATGACCTGGTTATTTTTCATCACTTATGAGCATCACAATCATAATTATTACCAGGCATTTATAAACCACCTTTCCTCCCCAATCAGCTTAGAAATGGTTTTACAAATGAATTAGAAACAGCATAGATATGGATCACTTCACACAGCACCGAGTACAGTCACCTCAAGGGGAAACGTGAGGGCTCATATATAAATCAGACTAACATTATGCTAAGGTTGAAGACCAACCATGAGGAATGGCTTATTTGCTTGAAGCCAAAGGGAATATTAGGTAAGCAAAGGACATTGCTTCCCCTGGTTACAAGGTCAGTGCTTTTTCATCGACTGAGGTCCAGTGTTAATGGATCTGGCGTCCAGATGCCAGTGCCACTGAAGGACTAATGGGCAACATGTTCACCTTCCGGAGGGAGAGAACTGAGCTATGACAGGGCTGCCCTGTCTCTGAGTCTTGTTGGCAATGCAGCACCAGCCACAGAGAAGAAATCCTGAGCTCAGAGGACACAACTACATGATACCTGATGCTCAATAATCTATCAGGACCCTTCCTCATGTACTCATCTGCAAAGGTAGTACTGGCATTTTCCTACGGGACCCAACACCATGAACTGATTGTCTGTACAGTTTTGTCAAGTCCCTAGGCCCAGAGCTGCCTCACGTGGAAGCTCAGGAGCCATAACTTCCAATCCATGCCTACTGTGCTCAAAATCATCTGCTCAGATACCACCAGAAGGTGCTCTGCAGAGCTTCTCTGTTTATGACAAGTCCCATCAATACTGCTGCCCATACGGTGCTGGAGAAGGACTTTAGTCTCCTGTGGGTCTTGCTTTGCTATGAAGACAGAACCAATCCATGTTATATGGTTTGCGGATATTAGAAGTAAGTTTTCTCAGGGCCGTTATGAGAGATGTCGATTTTTAAGTAAGAATGCACTTGATTATTCCTATATTTAGGTGTAGGCTTTTCCTCTACAGCAAGTGGTGAGTTTTGTAGCAAACCTCACAGTGTTTAAATACCTGTCTGCGACGATAGAAATGGTTAGTGGCACACACACAATGCAAACATCTATTTTAGGAAGTGTTCTGAAAGCTCTAATGGTGTCTGGTTTCTACCCAGCTACTAGTGGAAGATAAAGTGATGCTTGTCACATTCAACATGCATAAATTTGTGCCAACATGCAGATTCTGACTCAGTTTGGAATAAGCCCCAAGAATCTGCATTTCTACCCGCCACCAAGGTCAAGTGGGCGAACTTGCAGTGGCACAAAGCAGGAAGGTCACATGTAACTTTCTAATCCCAAAGCTGAGGGATCTGCCCAGCTGACACTCTTGCTTAGAAATTGTCCTGGCCTGTCCGGAACTGTGCACAGTTCATAATCAGATGTCATTAGAGCAGAGCTGCTCCACACAGCCCATTGCCCAGGCAGTCCAGAAAGGTACTCTCTAGTGAACAGATGTGGAGCAGCAAGAGGCTAACAGTGTCTTCCCACCTCAGCCCTACTCTGCCTGGGTCACTTCACCTCACTCCAAACAGAATACAGTGTTAGAATTTGTTTTTCAGCCTGAAAGCTAATTTTCCTGATTTTAGTGACAACCAGGAAGCAAAAGCCGAGGGAGCGGAGTCTTGCAGAGTGCTGGAGTCTCCACTGGGAGAGGAGAGGAGAGGAGAGTGTGGTCGTTTAGAGAGCCCACACTTATAAGGAGAAAAATAGAGGTAAGATATTTATGGGACACAGAAACGGATTGTTGTCTGTTGATGACAATGTGTATAGTATCCTCAACTGGACTGGTGTGAGGTATATTCATGTTGGGTAAATTCACTTTATAAGTTAAGTAATATATTGTGATTAAATGTATAAAATAAATTAAAAGAAAGAAAAAGAGAGAGAGAGAGAGAGCTCACACTGAGTGAGGCAGAGCTCCAGGCCAGGGACACTGCAGAGTTCATGCAGATAAAACACAGGCGTTCATGGCTAGCAAGGGGTGGGAGAGGGACAGCATAGGCAAAGGAGACAACTTCTTCATCTGAGACCCCAGGCACACAGCACAGGGTGAGGGGTTCAGCACTGACTTCCTCTGGGCAAGGTATTCTTGACAATCAGCCAGCCTGTGTTGTACTGAAAGAACAGAAAACAAAAGAAGCAGGAGTGGTGGCAAATGAGACCTTCTTGGAAGCCCCAGCACAGGAGTGCTGATAATATCTGTCCATGGCATATGACTTCTCGACTATGCCTAAGCTGATGAAAAAAAGAAAGGTTGCATTTAAGTCTGGGATATACCATGTCTGCTATGATCAAGTTATTTAAGTTGGGGTGTGTGTGTGTGTGTGTGTGTGTGTGTGTGTGAGTGGGGGGGGGTAGTCTCAACTCAAGGGGTGCACCCAAAATCTGCAGATTTGGGGGAGATGCTAACTGGGAGATGGCACTTTATTCATTTCTTCACTTTATATAATTTAAGTCTCTCTAGGTGTGACACCTTGGAGAGAGAAATAAAGATATGAATTCCTCAAAGACACCTACATGACTTCTCTGCTTCTCCAATTGTGATGTAAGCTGTAGAACACAAAGGGATTGGAAAACATTAGCCAAATAGAAAAACAGTAGGTAACACTGTTTACTATGACCAGGTGCTGAGCTAAGTGCTTTGTAGGCATTATTCAAGGTAGAAAAAAGATTTCTACAGAGAAAACAGTAGTTCTTCCTCGGGATTTCTTAACTGATTGGTTAGGGCCCTTTATGAAATCAGCGGTGTTTTTCAGCTATCACAGTCTTCCAAGATAGAGATGAAATAGCTTTCTAGATAGATTTGGTATCTCTGGGCATTCTCACCAGAAGATGCACTACAGTTGCTGCTCCAGGAGTTGTTGATTGGATCTTTGCTTTTGCCTGTGAGCACCATAATCCCCTAAAAGCCAATGACATAAAAAGTTGTGGTAATTCTAGCATGTGAAGAACCTCTCCTTTCTGATTGTGACTTGACTAAGTTAGAAATGGAAGTGACAATATTGGGCATCACTCACATTTCTGATTAGTCTAGGTAGCATGAGAAGTTGATAATGGCCAACTCAAAAAAATCACATATATGTTTAAGCCTGTACATTAAAACTCTTAAACCAGAGGCCAGCTATTTAAATGGACTCCAGAAAGAATATCTAACATTAGTTTTTTCTACAGCTGTCACATTAGGATAAAGCTCATTACCATTTTTCCTCTTTGGCTCTGCCATCCCATTGCAAGAGCCTGTTGTTGAAGTGTACACCACAGAGAAGAATCAGAGAAAGCCTTGTTTACTGCCTCAGACACTTCGAGCGCTACCTGCATCCAAGAACTCAAGGAGGGAACCAGACAGATATGGAGTTTATGTGAAAGAATGAAATTATCCTCAATTATTTTCTTAATGGGGAGGAAATGGAGACGTTAAAGTTCTCTCCTGCTGGAGCAAACCAAAATGTGCAGTGATGAACAGCCTTTCTTCCACAATTTACTTTGCTTAAATTCAAAGTTGTTTCGTGATAGCCCAAGACTCCCCCAGAGGAACTCTGTAGTTTTGCAGCAAATACCATTTGCATTTGCTCATTGAGTCACTACCAAGTTTCCTGCGGGAGAGCTTCAAAAGATCTTCACATGGTGCAGGAGCTAATGACTGCACTCCCCAGGAGTCTCTGCTCAGAAATGTTTTCCCTGCAAAAGCTCACAGCCTACACTTGGAAAAGTCTCAAATGTGATAATTAGAGCAATCGGCATTTTCTTATGAGAAGGAGGTGTATGTATCTCAGTGATGGGTGGTCCAAATTCTTGGATTTCAGAATGCAAAATATAATGCAGTCATGGGAAAACATTTAGCTTTGTAACACAAGGCCAAGCTAGAATTTAAAGGGAAAATCAAACAGCTTTCTAGAATAAGCATACCAAGTTGGAACTTGGATCTTTCAGGCTAAGAGCTCATTATGTCTTGGAAGATGGAGCAGCACAAAGCAATAGGAAGAGTATTTGTTTTACAATCAGAGATCAGAGTTTTCAGTTAATCTACACTCTGCCACCTCCTAGCACGTGTCCTTACAAAAGTCATCTGACATCTCTGAGCCTCTGTAACTTCATCTGTTCAATAGGGATTATGATATCTGAATACCCGTTCTGCTGAGATCAAATGTGATATGCAAAGTTTCTTTTTTTTTGGAGAGGTTTTCACTATAGGGCGTGTGCGCTCGCCAGACAGACAGAGACATAGAGACAGAAAGCAAAACATCACCCCCCAGGGGGGATGGTCACGCCACAATCCCTTTTCCTCCATTCTCCTCTCGGGATCTTGGGCACGCACGCACACGCGCCCGGCGTGAGTTTTAAGCCACCGGGTCCGGGATGCGAACCGCGGTCAACTACGTGGGAGTCCAGTGACATAGCCATTACGCTAACTGCTGGTTCCCAGATATGCAAAGTTTCTTAAACAGTGGGTCCCAAAGGAAGTTTCGTTTGCTCTTTACTTGTGGACTTCTCCATAATCATTTCAAATTCTTCTTCTTTTTTTTTTTTTTTAGAGATTTTTGCTTTAGGGTGCATGTACTCACCAGACAGAACATGAGAAATCACCACCCCAAGGAGACTTGGCAATGCAGTGACACCTTCTCTTTTATTCTCCTCTTGAGATTTTGGGCATACGCGCACACACGTCTGGTGTGAGTTTTAAGCCACCATGTCCAGTACTTGAATTGTGAACAAATACGTGTGAGTCCAGGGACATAATCATTATGCCATCTATTGGTCCTGATCATTTTAAATTCTAAAATCAGGATGGTATGGTGACGGAGAATAATAAAGCAACATGATCACATTAATCTAGAGGCAATACAAGCCTGACAGGAAAAAAAATCTACATTTGTCTTCTGATGTAAACAATGAAAAATTGGAGAGAAAAGCTAGCTTTAACTGTCTTAGAGAGTGCAATGTTTGTTTGTATGTGAGCTTTTGTGTTTTATATTTGTTTGCTTCTTCATCATTAAAAACTTATAATTATTATGGAAGTGATCTAGCACAAACGTCTCAATTTGCCACCTGAAAACAAATATTACAAGATTAATCCTAGTAGTCATACATATTAGCGGCAAAACAAGGACTGGAACCCAGGATTTCTGATTCTAATGTAGGGTTATTTCTATTATAGTTGCTTCTGTTTGCTGAATGTTCCCCTACCTTGATCCCATGAACCATGGCTTTGGGACTATAATTCCCACAATGTCCTAGCCTGATCTGAGTTCTTGTCCTTAACCTACCACAAACCTAGTGTGACTTTGGCACTTTTTTTTATTGTCTCTGGGTTAGCTTTCTCATTAACTTCCCATTTAGATTATCCATTCCCTTAAATTAAAAAATTTAAAAACAAGCCTCCAACAATTAAACTAATGGTGGATAAGAGAGAGGAAACTCTTGAAGGCATCTGAGTAGGCAAAGACTATTTAAGTAAGACCCCAAAAGCATAGGGAATAATCCCAAAAATAGACAAATGGGATTACATGAAGTTAAAAAGCGTCTGCTCAGCAAATAAACAATAATTAGAGTGAATCAGCAACCTATGGAATGGGAGACTATATTTGCAAACTATGTCACAGATAATGGATTGGTAACCAGAATATTCAGAGAACTCAAGCTGCCTACCTGTGGAAAAGAAAAAAAAAATCAGCCCAATTAAAAGATGGGCAAATGAGCTGAACAGACAACTCTCTAAGAAACACATATGAACAGCCAAAAAGCATATGAAAAAATGTTCAATATACCTTTATAAGGGAGATTCAAATCAAAACTACAATGAGATACCATCTAACCTCAGTCAGAATGGCTAAGATTAAGAAAATTACAAATGCATTGGACCAGCAGATGGCATAATGGCTACATCACTGGACTCTCACATAGTCAACCACGGTTCGAGTCCCGGATCTGGTGGCTTAAACTTGCACCGGGCATGTGTGTGTGCATGCCCAAGATCCTGAGAGGTGAATGGGGGGAAAAGGGATTGTGTTGTGGCCATTCCCCCTGGAGGAGAAGGGATTGTGTTGTGGTCATTCCCCCTGGGGGATGCTTTCCCACTTTATGTCTCTCTGTCTCTGTCTTTCTGGCAAGTACATGTGCCCTATAGTAAAAACCTCTCCAAAAAAAGAAAGAAAGAAAGAAAGAAAGAAAGAAAGAAAGAAAGAAAGAAAGAAAGAAAGAAAGAAAGAAAGATAGGAAGGAAGAAATTATAAATGGTAAATTCTGAAAAGGCTATGGTGAAAAGGGAACTCTCCTACATTGTTCGTGGGAATATAAATTAGTACAACCACTGTGAAGAACAATATGAAGATTCCTCAAAGACTGACAAATAGAACTACCATACTATCTAGTAATTCTGCTTCTGAGTATCTACCCAAAAGATAGGAATACACTCAGTCAAGAAAGTACTTGCATATTCATGTTTATTGTGGCATTATTCACTATTGCTAAGACATGTCCATGAACAGATGAATGGATTGAAAGTGTGACACATAGTGTGTCACACTATGGAATACTTCTCAGCCATAAAACACAATGAGACCCTGTCATTTGATAGAAAGTGAATAAATATGGATGATTTACTGCTAAGTGAAGCAAACCAGACTACAAAAGAGAAGCATTGTATGTCCCCACTTACTATATACCAAATGTCTGCATTTTATGGCAGAAACTAAAAGACCAGAACATATATGTA